CTGGGAGAGGTCATCAGGAGGTGTGGGCTGCGGAATCATCAGTATGCTGATGATACCAGCTCTACCTCTCGTTTTCCACCAATCCAGGTGAGGCAGTGGCTGTGCTGAACTGGTGCCTGGCTGAGGTAATCGGCTGGATGAGGGCCAATAAAATGAAGCTCAATCCAGACAAGACAGAGGTCCTGTTGGTTGGCGGATCGGGCTTCGGGGAGGGTGAATTGCACCTAGTCCTGAATGGGGTTGCACTCCCTCTTAGGGACAAGGTCCGCAGCTTGGGAGTGCTCCTCGACCCAGATCTTTCACTGGAAGCTCAGGTGACAGCAGTGGCAAGGAGCGCTTTCTTTCAGCTTCAGCTGATCCATCAGCTGTGCTCCTACCTGGAGAACAACTGCCTGACGACAGTGACACACGCGTTGGTGACTTCCTGACTTGACTTCTGTAACGTGCTCTACGTGGGGCTATCCTTGAAGATGGTCCAGATACTTCAACTGGTTCAAAACAGAGCTGCCAGGTTGCTGACGGGGACTGGGCGTTATGTTCACATTACTCCAGTCCTCCGTCAGCTTCACTGGCTTCCCACTGAAGTCCGGGCCCAATTCAAGGTGTTGGTGATGACCTATAAAGCCCTTAACGGATTGGGTCCTGGTTACCTGAAGTAGCACTTACGTCCATATATGCCTGCCCACCCCTTGAGATCAGCAGGAGAGGCCCTTCTCCGGGAACCCTCTGTGAAGGAAATTAGGAGGGTAAGTACTCGGAGGAGGGCTTTCTCTGCGGTGGTGCCCAATCTATGGAATGCGCTCCCCAGAGAGGTCCGCCTGGCGCCGTCGTTATTTGTTTTTCGGTGCCAGGCGAAGACCTTTTTATTCAAATGTTATTTTAATTGTTAATATTATTTATTCATTTTATTCTTTGGCCAGGGCGACTTAATTTATATTGTTAATTTATATTGTTTTATTGAATTTTATTTATTTATGGTTTGTGAGCCGCCCTGAGGCTTCAGCAAATGGGGCGGCATAGAAGTCACCTAAATAAATAATGAATAAATAACTAAATATCAACTTCCCAAAGTTTTCCTTATGAACCTGTCTGCACCCCAACCCTGGAGGAAGCATGCTGAGAAATGGGCATGCCTCTGCTTCACCAGTGGTGCCCTAGGTGGGCCTCCCACCAGTGTTGGCACCAAGTCACTGGGTCCACCTCTGAAGTGGAAGGTTGGTCTCCATGAGATGCACCTTCCAATTCAATGTCTCCTCTCACAGACTGTAACTCCCCTTCCTTCCCATGGCTGGTATGATCTGCATTCCTGTCCGCCCTTGGGCTAATACCTTCTACTGCCTTGAGGACCTTGAGCTGCAGCTTGTGGCTAGACAGTCTCACAAGTAGTCTTATCCTCCAAATCTGAATAATTAAAAATAGCATGATTAGCCTCCTGCAACCATGTTTGACAGTACGTGCACACACAACATCTGGTATCAAAAGCGAATCAACAGGGTCACACTTCTTCCATCTCTTTCTGAGCACACATCATTGCACACAGCAGCCAAAGCTGATTCAAGGGGTGAAGAGTCAAGGTAGCTCTCCTTCTCCAAGAGTAGCACCTCTTTTTCTGTCCTTGGAGGGGGAGTTTGAGACAGTCCTTCAGTCCCTGAGATGCCTCTCCCGTGGACCACAGGATTCCAGCCTCAACATCAAGTGTCGTTGGGCTGGTATGTCACGTCTTGTCAACAGGTTAACATGGCACCTCTATGAAAAGATAACCCAGCATAACTTCAACCCACCCCACTCAAATGTGAGGCTGGAAATTGTCACTGACAGAAGCCTTGCATGGCAAATATTGGATAGTTTTTCCAGTCATTTCTCTCTCACTCACACACACACTCAGTAGCACATGTCTTAACAGTTTTCATTTTGGAAAAACAGCTCAATAGTCCCCAGTCGCATCTAGAAATTTTCTGAAATTTCACCATATTTGATTTACTAATCTGATGGCAAGTTAGAATTATAATTGGGTACCATTAGTATTTTCCTTTCTCGGCTCCAGAGCTTAACTATGGTGATATGGTTCACAGGTTTAGTGGAGGCGGGGGAAGGAGCTTTAAAAATAGGCCGTCAAGTCTGTTTCTCCCCAGAGGCATTACACTCTGCAACAGTTCACTGAGCTTCTACAGCCAACGCAGCTTTGGACACAGCAGTAACCTTAAACTCATCATTTGTACATTCTGTTCAGAATTTTCCAGTATGAACTATTCTAAATTGCTATACAGAAATGCCATGCCTCCCACACAAGTTCTGTGAGATTTAAAAGCTTGAAGAGATTGTGTACCTCCAAACATTGTGAGCCAGGCTTTGCTCTCCTGCAGCCTATAAAACAGAAGCCACCAGGGTTCTCTTCCCCTCTTTCCATCCAGGGGTTCCATTCAGCCTAGAAAGTAGCAGCCAACTCTGCCTTTTTCCTCAGACATGGGTGTGAGACGCCAACCATTCCTGGCTATCACACACGCACTGACGGGACTAGATATGACCAGGTACCTGTTCTGGAAGTACAACCCTGTAGCCAGAGCTGACGTGCACACAGAGATGCAAATAAAAAAGGGATACTGAACAGAGCAAATGTGATCCAGAAAGCCATACGGAAGGACATCTGGGGAACAGAAAACAGGCTGCACAGAGACCGCAGGCATCAGCAGCATTGGGAGAAGATTTCAGTTCATACACCGCACCTATTTTAATTGTACACCTTTCTTTTATTTTCTCCAAAAGTGAGTGTCAGAGGGAGAAGACAGACTTGCCCAAAGATGCACATGCTGCTCCGAGGGACATCACCCTTCTGTTCCCGCTGAGGGGGTTTCTTCGTGTTCTCTTAATATTAGTGTGCCTGGCCCTTTACAGTGTATACATGGAAAGCCCCATCCCCAATGAACTTGCAAAATTTCATCGCAGGAGATGGAAACAACAGGCAAATGGCAGGCTAGAAAAAGCAGGTGGGCAGTATGAGGCTGCAGGAGAGCTGGGGCTGGTGCTGGGGGACGAGCCAAAAGGCGCACAGCTGTCTTGAGAAATGATCTGAAGGGAGAGAGGAAAACTCACACATGCATTCTGGAAGGTTGTTCCCAATAAAGGGCAGGGAAGAGTAGAGCCTTTTGAGGGTGCAAGTGAGTTTTGGAAGCCAAAGGGTGGTGGAGCTGGCGGTACAAAAGTCAGAGAAAGGGGTGTAGGGTAGAGTGGAATGGCAGGATAAGGGGAATCAGACATAAAAGGGTTTTAAAGAAAGGTGAAGGAGCTTCTTCTGAATCTGGAAGAAGACAGAAAGGCAATGCAGGGGATAAAAGAGGGACATGCTCTTTCCCTCGAGTGACGAGAAAGGCAGACGATTTGGGCAACAGAGTGTGGGGTGGAGGTGAGACAATGAGGGCAAGACAGCAAAATCTACAGAGGAGGCTGTGGCATTGAAATGGGTAAGGACTGGGATGTAGATCCATGCTGAGGGCTTGGAGAGCAAGGACCACGCAGTCCTTTTGCAGTGTTGGCAGGGCAGAAGTGCAGAAACATGATACAGGTCTTTGATCAGGTCATAAAAGGAAGAAGCAACAAAGCTGGCGATGAACTCTTTACAGAACAAAGACATGGTTGTGGGTGCTTGGAGCTGTCAAGATTTAGTATTGGGAAAACTAACCTCATATTAAAAGCAGAGGCTGCAAGGACTGGGGCTTTGTGCCACAGAGATGGACACGTTTAGCAGATTCCCAACTCTTAAGCCTTTGCTTTCCCAGCACAATAAATATCAGCAGACAACAAGAACCAGTAGACAATTCAAATCAATCCATCAAATTAAAACAGAATCACATTTACATTTACTGTCAGTGTTAAAGCATGAGAATACAAAGCCCCCTATTATTTTTTTCTCTTCGAATGTACATTGAGGAATATGATCTGAGTGCAGGTGCATACATATGCCTTGTGCAGTATGGGTGAAAGTAAAAGTAGGGGGACTTCAAGATCAGGACAGGAGTCTAGACTTACCTGTCTGGAAACCTTGCCGGCAGATTACGGACTCTTTCCCTTGCTCTAAGATTGCCAATTTGCCTGCAGCACCACTTGCTATTTTTCAGCAAATGCCTGCTTTCACTGGGGCCTTTATCCCCGGGCTGCAGCACCACAAGCTTTTTCCTTCTTCAGCTGAACCTCTATCATGGACAGAGAAGCTCAATATTTATTCTTCACTGGGTCAGAGTGACCTATTGTTGTGGAAATGTGTACCATCTTGGCTGCCTGATCAACTTCAAGACCACCTTCCTTAACTGGGGCAGGTTTTGTTGTACTGAAGCCACTTCTTCCATGTACGGCCAAGCCAGCTCAACCCTTTGCACAGCTTGTATAGACAAAACTGTCCATTGCCCCGTTGTTCCTACACCAACAGCTATCACATTTATCCCAGGGGATGCACCTTGCTGAAGCCAAGCACGTCTGGGTCCAGGTAATGCCTGAAGGGAAGACCACTTAGGAACTGAAGAACGGTGAGATATAAACAGAACAAGTAAAGAAAGCTATACAAAACCTTTATCAGCAGCGCTGCCACTTTGTGTTCTTGCCCTGATGCAATGATCTGACTTTCCCTGTTCTAAATACTTGTTGCCAAGGCTGAAAACTGGTGCATGCAGCTTTGGCAGTAATACAGATCTCACTGGATGTTCATTAGAGTTTACAGTCAGCCAGAGTCCTTGGCCAAATGAGCAGTTCTTCCAAGGTGCCTCTGGAAGAGGATGTCCACACCCGGCCACCCTGCCTGCTTTTGCCCATGCAAACCATGTCATGGTTCAACCTAGCTAATTATCCCTTGGTGGGAACAGAGCCCCGGCAGCTCCATGTCTGTTCATCTTTTCCAAGTTCCATTACATATAGATCAAGCTTTATAAAAATATTCCAGTTCTGCAGTGAAAAAATATGCAATTGAATGTTCTTCCCTCGCATCCAAGGGACTGCATGCCAGGACCCCTTACCCATTATGGTGACATCATACTCAATCTGGAAGAGCGCCTCCTGGCTGCACTGGCGGAGGATGTTCAGGGCATCAGCATGGCTCACACTGTGAAGGGGAATCCCATCAACACTCAACAGCCTGTCCCCAATTTTCAGGGACCCTTCCCTGTAGGAAAAATTGCATGCAGGATTCTTGAATACATATGGAACCCATACATTGCCCTCAAAAAGACTTTGGCTTCTCAGGCTTTTTTTAGTGGCATGGCTCCTCTTGTAGCTTCTGTAATTGCTTATATACTGGCCCAAATGTATGCAAATACCACAATGATTCAACTGACTGAGATTCCTAAAAAGCTTATAAAGTCATGCAACCAATGCTTGGCCCACTGAGAGGTATGTTGCTTACACAGTGCATAAATATGATTATAACAAACCATTGGGTGGAAGTCTGTGAGCACAATGGAAAGCCAGGGTGAAAAATCATCATTTAAAAGCCCTAGAATATACACCACAGTCACTATGCTCATAAAGATTCAAATGTGCAGATTCAAATGTGCAGCTAAGCACATGGCACATCATCCAGAGTAGATGGTAAAATGTCTGAATTGAACATTTAGCTGCAGAACAGATACAGGATCACACAACTGATTATCAAGTGCAAGTCTTGATCAAAGCAAACATGCAGCTAGCTGCTCATTTCAGAAATCCATTGTGCAAATTAGCAATACATTTGAAACATCAGGATTTGGGTTTTGCCTGAAACAATTCTGTTTCCTGGAAGACTGGCATTCAAGAAATCGCTTGAGAAAGGCCAATACAACAGTCTCATACATGTAAAGAAAAAGACAATATATTCAGACACCAAGGCTAGGAACACACCTAGGATGCAAACCAAGATCTTTACACATATATGGTTGATTGAACATCTATTTATTTAAGCTCCATTGCCAAATGTGGTACGATATGCAGATTACCTGTCTGCTGGGCCACCTGGCCTAACATATGTCAATACTAATGGCCTGGATTTGTGCCAATCTTCATGGGCTCCTCCTATAATAAAATTGCAAAAACAAGCCATGAACTGTAAATGCATAGAAAACTCTTGTTTTACAGCTTTTCTCAGCAATCAAAGATTTTAAGATTCTGCAGAAATGCAAAAAACCCTCTTTATTAGCTATGCCGATCTTTCTCGATTCTTTTTCAGTTCAATTAACTTATGGTTTTTATTTACACAGAACACCAAACTTTGTTCCCATCTTTGCTTGCGTATGAGCCAACTGTGTGGCTATCTCAGCATCAAGAGGAAAGATACCTCGCAGAACAAATCCAAAACTGTTTCCTTCTTTGTACAGAGTCACTTCAATGGTCTTTGGAATGATGCCAGCACTGTTCTCTGGGGCTGTAGATAAGAAGTAAAGGGAAGAATTAATACCTAACCTGCCATACTCATCTTCATTTTTTGGTTCTGGATTTAATATAACCTTTCCTTAATCATTCATACAATCTTACAATATGAAGGACTTTTGAATTAGATGAACAGAATTTTGCCTACAATATAAGATGATATTTAACTACAGCATTAAAATGCAGCTCAATTGCCCATCTAGATTGTCCCCAATCAATCCTAATTCATAAAGAATGTTAAGATGAACCATTGCCCTTTCTCTATAAGCTCCAAATCAGCCTGCGTCTTTCAGAAGCTGGCACTTCTTGCCAAAATAAGAACTTAAGAAGGATCGTGCTGGACCAGTCAAGTGGCTCATCTAACCCTGCATACTGTTCAAATAGGTGGCCAGTCAGTTGACCATGGGAAGCCCACAGGTGGAACACACTTGCTCTGGCAACTGGTATGAAGGGGCATTAGACACCTGGCCACAGATAGGAAGTAATAAATAGTCGCCAGGACTAGCAGCCAGTGATGGCCTTCTCCTCCATGAATTTGGCTACCCCTCCTCAAATAGCAATTGCTAGTGAGTTCCATTGGTTACCCAGCCACTGTGGTGCTCCGGCCTCTTGTCCACTATAGTTCCCTTTTCTGCACCTTTTTGAATGCTATAGTATCCTTTAGGATGTGCAGGGGCCACAACTAGGTACACTAGTACAACTGTGGTCTCACTATAGATGTGTATGTTATTGGTTGTTTTATTATCAGTCTATTTGTATTGGGTCCAGCATGGAATTTGCCTTTTTTCACAGCAGCCACTCCCTGGATCAATATTTTCATTGAGTTGTCCACCACTGCCTCAAGATGTCTTTCTTGATCAATCATCACCAGGCTGGAACACAACAGTGTATACTTAGAGTTGTGTTTGTTTTTTTCAAACCAGCATGCATCACTTTGCACTTGTTTACAACAATCAGCATTTGCCATTTGTTATCTAGATGTTTGCTGGATTCTCAGATTTTAGTAATAAGCCAGCTGGTTTATTCAGCTGAATAAACTGAAGTCCTCACAGCTAAAAGGATAGTTTTTGATTGAGATTGTAAAAAGAATGCATAAGTGTAAAGCAATCCGAGAGGAAACATGGCTTTATTCATATTTAATTTGGTACTTGATTTAACTTCTAATGCCTGTAAAAGCAAAATAAAAAGAAATGAAGACTGAGTATGCTAGCAATAAATGGTCACCTACTATAAATATTCTTTTTTCCCCATCAGTAATAGTGCTGTCTGCTGACACCACAATTTTCCTGTTTCCTTGATGGAACAGCATATAGATTTTGGTTGCAGCATTCAACTGATTAAACAGTTAGATTAAGCAATTTACAAATATTTTGATTAACTAAAAAGTTCGCTAATTAAAATTAGGCAGATTGGGGATGGATTGTAATATTATATGTTATTTATATATTTTAGGTCATAGTACATGGCTGCCACCATTTCAGAAAAGGCAATCCTTTTTCAAAGAGGATGCCCGCTATAAGACACACAAACATAGTCTCAAGAGAAATTACACTCATTCTTTGGAACTTATATGCACATTTAATGCTGGAACTTATATACACATTTAATCATCGTCAACAAGGACCTGTATGAGCAGTCAACTCAGATTCTTTTCCTCAGATGACAGCCTTAATTTGGGTTGGATTCAAACTGAGTTTCCACCAACAGAATTTGCAGCAGAATTTCATTCACTGGAAACTATTGCCAGTTGGAGAGAAGCCTTTAGCACTCTCCAGGATTTTCCTCCAGCAAATTGGAGACTACTCCAGTACAGTTCAGGAGGTGATACTGGGAGCTGTGGGAGGAAGTGGAAATTGGCAGCAATCACCTTTCCAACAGTGAAAACCCTCTGCTGGATCCAAAGCTTTCTCTGGACAGAAGGAGTTAATACAAGGCAACAAAACAAAAGAAGAGGAAGCCATCTGGAAACATGAACAGTAACCACAAAAACAGAATTATCATGGTAATACTAACCAGCTAAGGGTAGCTCATATTCAACCTCTAATACTACCCTTTCCCCCACATTCTTCAACAGGCTTATGATTTCATCATGCCGCAGTTTGGTCAGGTTAATCCCATTCACTGACTTGATGTAGTCACCAACATTTAGCTGATCACTCCTGTGGTACACAAAGCAAAGTGCCTCAGTTATATAGTTCCAGGACCTCTTTAATAGTGAACATCTGAAATTATATCTTTACTGGCAAAATACGGAGACCTACCAAGTCAACTTCCCACAGAACAACACCAGAGGTTACTCATGGATTTAGTAGTCTGCCAGCATTTTTTTTAAAGGAAAGTGCAGGGAGTGGAGAAAAAAGGACTCATACTGTACATCTGTGGAATCACAACTGGACAAGCTGCCACAGGCGGTGATGCTGAGGGAAGCCTCAAGAAGCCATCCCAAAATATATTTTAGTTCGAACTTGGCCGGAAGTTAAGAATGGACTGCTGGGGCCAATCCAGTTGTGTAATTCTTTTATTCTTTGGCACGTTCTTTACTGTTGGACATGTTCAAAGTACTTGCTTGAAACACACACGCACACACAGCCCTTGCAGCCCTACCCTAGTGCCTAATTTCTATGTGACTGCCTTACCTTGCTGCTAGCCCTCCGGGTCTCAGATTGGAGACTCTTGGTTTCCCATCTTTATCTGTGCCACCAGATATAGTTAATCCAAGGGTGCTGCCTTCTTTTTTAATCAGTTCCACAATGGTGATGCCTCTGAATTCCTCTGGGGGAAATAATGGGAGCACGTCAGTTGGCTGGATATGGTTACATGATCGAGTTGAATAAAGGAGTCAAAGCATCAACGTTTTAATTTATTTGGGCATGTATGTCATGTCTCTCTGCTTCTGACAGACAAGATGTTTATGACAAAAGAAAATACACAAAGAAAGTTAAAGGGTATCTTCAACAATAGCACTATTAATAAAAAAGAAATCAGTCTAGTTTCTTCTTCTTATTACATTGCATTTATATCCCACCTTTTTTCCCTCTTCGGAAGAATTGAGGGTGGCTAACATTACTCTATTTTATCCCCACAACACCCCTGGGAGGTAGGTTGAGCTAAGAGTTTGCGATTGGCCGAAAGTCACCCAGTTGAGTTTCATGGTGAAATGAGGACTAGAGTCCGGATCTCCCAGGTCCCCCAGTCCTTAGTGTGATAAATTTATAATAATATTCCACTTAAAAAAACAAAAACAAAGGAACTCATGATGAGAATAACCAATAAAAAGAAGCTACACAGTGAGGGAACTATGGAAAAAGTGTTACTTGATCATTCAGGTTTTCAAAAAAGTTTCAAAATGGATTGTTTGTGCTGTGGTACAGAACGCTTGGGCATTTATTTATGTATATGTGTATGTATGCATGTACATACTTATATAAGGCCTAATAACCGAAGTCTGCAAGTGGTTTACTATAGTCTTCTAGATGTAAAAAGTTTAAACTACACTTATTTTTAAAACCCACAAAACTTGGACTCTAAAGAAAATAAAACCAGCAACAGCATAAAATCAGCAGCAGCAGCAACAGCAACAAAGAGATATTATAGGAGAAGATCCCCAAAGCACTACAAGCTCTTAAGACTGTGACTTTCATTTCCTTGGAGAAGATCTAAAAGTTGTTCTCACTTCAGCATGGGGGGGGAGGGGCAACCTGAGACCCCAGGCCATATGCAGCCCTTTGCTGAATTTTAAAAGTCTTCTATGAGCTCTGAGATCAAACCACTGGCGAGTGTAATCCGTGCTTGTCTCAGCAGTCCACCTGAGGGGACAGAAGAGGTGACAGAAGAGTGCGGGGGGCTTCCCCCCCCTTTGGATGCTGGTCCTGCCCAAGACCGTTTTTGAGTCGGCTGAGCAGAAAAAAGTCCTCTCTCCTCTGTAGCCAAGGCTGCAAATGATTGCACATCTAGATTTTTCTAGCATATAATATGAGATATTAAGGATTGTGAGCAGAGGGAATTATAACAAAGTTTTCCTCTTGATGCACTAAGTTCTATGCATATAATGCTTTCAGTCATTCAGTGGCCCAGTACAGTCTGAGGTAGCATGGTCCAGACCAGAGGCCAGGAGCTCCCCATGGGTTTACATGAGCCTTCCTCCCCTCCCCTGCTCCTCCTCCCCTACATGAATGCCACCTTCCTGTTCATGATCAGAACTAACCTCGCTGCAGTGCCGCACCTCTGTTCTGGCCAAACCTGGCTGGAAATGGCTCAAATGAACCTCAAATGGCAGCACAGGTGGAGTGCTGCACCAGAAAAGAAAGTAAAGCAACTTCTGCCTGATCCGGAAGGAGAAGACATTTTGAAAGCATATAGCACTCCTGTGCTAGGGGATGGGTAGCACTACATCAGCTAATTTTAAAAATAAGAATAAATCGGTCTATCATAGATCAATAGATAAACAAAAGGTGGCAGAAGAAATGATGAAGGTGAGAAAGGGTCATGGGTGGTTCAGAGAATCTAGGGAAGGCATTTCTAGTCTTTCAAATTTAGTGCCCCTTTGCATTTGATGGAACAGCCATGTGAGTTTTGATGTATTTGGAAGCAATTTGAACCTGTAATACTGGTGACTTGTAAAACACTCTCTGCACATGTACATTACAAGGCTGAAGAGTGATAAATATTTATAGTGGGGTTATTATGCAGCACTTATTCTCCTTTTCTCTTACATTAATGTCAGATTATCCTTTAAACAGCAGGTGGTATGTTCTTAATCATTCCATTACTGAGTGTCCTTGACTCTTGCTCCATTTGCAAAGTGATACTGTAGCACATATACGCATTTGCACAGCAGAGACATTTAGGATCATCCAATCTAATCCAAACCAAAAATTACAGAGGAGAGGTGCATCCAAATGAGCATGGACCATTCTAGGTAAGCTACGTAATATACGGCAAACCTTTTCCTTTCTGAATGCTACCAAGCAAGAAATTCAACTATAACAAAGGGCTGGTGTATTATCACACAATATGAGAAACTTGCCCAGATATCAGGCAAAGGTCAGCAAAGGTCCACCTGCTTTCCAAGTCCAGGGACCTTGAGAGTTGTAAACTAGGACGGACTTCTTCCCAAATCTGTGAGAATTAATCCAGATCCAGAAGTTCTGTCATTCTGGAAGGCACCTGATAATTATGAAATGGGCCATCTTATTTTTTCTTGAGATTCTAGAAAGCATGATCCCTGGAAATCTGACCCATACCTGGCAGCCAAGCAGGGGTGCAGCTGAAAGATTGTGGAATGCCTGTTCACATAGACAGCTGGGATCTCAGAAAGACAATCTCCTTGAGCTCCCTGCTTCACATACTTGAATACACAGTCCAGTCCTTCAGAGACTAAACAGTCATGGTGGAATCATGCATTTCATGTGGTTCTGGAGTGTCAATATTATTTACATCATCCTGCACCATCCTGGTGCTCCACCCAACTTAAAAAGAGGTAGGGGATGACGGTCTGCCCAAAGCACTGGTTTGGAAGGCATTCATCCATTGCTTTGCCTCTGCTTAACATCACAATGCTAATTTTGTATTGCTCTGTAATATTGAATAATTTTAATGGACGGTAAAATGTAGCAACTCTTCAGTGTACTGGTCCAAAATTTCACTAAGTGCCAGACATTTTCTTACCATTCCCTGCTGTTCTAAATTGAATGGCATCTGGCACAATCTTACAAATTTCCGCTAGAAAAATTCAAAGAAGTGACAAATAAACATGGATGGAGGCACAATTCAATTACATTACATCATTGATGGGAACTGCCAATTGGTTTCTGCCCACTGCTTAATGAGACCACCTGGAGCAAAGTAGTTGATCATGTAGGTGGGGAAAAATCTATTTAGTATTTTCTCAGAATGCATGCATAAAGCAGAGATGGGTCAAGCACCTTGACAGCCCCTATATTTCTTTAGCTTTAACCATGTGTGGGGATCCCCACCCTAAACAGATTTAAGCTGAGAAATTAGAATAGGTTCTCACTAAAATTCTCTCTTCTTAATTAAACATAAGCAATTACTTCTCTATCTCAGCCAAAATCTGAGATCCTCCCACAGACCTTAACACTACTACCATTTTAAACGTGTGTGTATGTGTATGTGTGTGCATATTTCAAAATCAATGCATGGTGGGTGATACCACGTTGAATAAAACCTTGCAGAAACCTAGTATGTGTTCAGTCCTACTCATGTACCAAGCCACAGTGTAGCATAAGGCATCTATCCATACAGGGAAGCCAATTCGTGTGGTGGCAACAGCCCCAAGCCTTGAAATTCTTCAAGAAGAATAAGCTGCTATCCTATTCCCACTTCCATTGGACCAAGACTCGTTAAACTCAATGGATCTTTCTCTGGAATAGATCTGTACAGGATTGTGCAGAGGCACAAATTCAGGAAGGGCTGTTTGGTCAGTGATCATCAGAGAGCCTGCACACTTAGCAAGAGCTTACCCAACTTTCACCCAGACATCAAATGGAGCAAGACCTTAAATGCAGTACAATCTATCGTTCTGAAGCCAACACATCATGTCCAAGGGGGGGTCAGTGCCACTATCCAACACAGGCAGGTGTTTAGGTAATATGTAAAAGCACTTAAACAGGAAGAACACATACTATAGAAACACTGAGTAGCTTAAGCCAGAATGATAAGCTCTGGTGGGCCAAAGCAGAAATCCAAAACAAATACAAGTCATTTCTTCAAGGGAATAATAACAGAAAATCTCAACTTTTAGAAATAACAATAAAAATGGACTATTCCTAATCATTAGCTTAAGCGATGAACCAAACTACATATTAATTTAAAGCTATAGCTAGCAACTTCTCTCCCTTTCTAAAGTAAGGGAACATTAACTATTTGTCTCCCCATTGTGGTCCCAATCCTGACTGAGGGCCCCACACTGGTACTTTTGGTTAGCTACATCTGCAAAGTAATGTACAGGAGCTGGAGTTATCATAGAAAAGCATACATTCATTTGCCAATCAGGATGAACTGCCTGAAGCAGGAATGAAGCAGACTCAGACCAAAAAAAAAAAAGGGGGGGGGGGAGGAGGTTAGGATGCCTTTCCTTGGTGAGGATTTTTTAGGAAATAATCTAAAGACATTCAAAGAGGGTGACATCCTGCCTTATGGGGAATATGATTTAGCAATTTGAGATGGCTAAACTTATGCCTGCCACAGCCAACGATAAAGCTCTTCCCAGTTAATATCCATTAATGTTTAGATAGATGTGAAGGCAACAGTTACTGTTCCCTTTGCAAGCTTGTCTTGTAAAAACTCATCCACAGTTCAGTATTTCATCATGAGCAGGCACTAGATGAAATGGACCATGCCTGGTAAGCAAGAACATTCTTCAGGTGCATCACAACCACCTTATCTGGAAGGCCTTTTGATATAAGAACAGAATCTTTATGGGTGCTTAGAGTGGTCACTTTTGGAGACAAAGAAATTATTTAGTCAGCAATTCTCAAAGCAGGGTCCCCAGATGTTGTTGGACTACATGTTCTACTCCCTCACCATTGTCCAAGCTGGCTGGGATGATGAGGAACACATCCAACATCTATGTTGGATCTGTGTAGATCTATGTAGATCCAACAACATCTGGGGATCCAAGTTTGGGAACTGTTCATCTTCATCGACTGGATCTACATAGACCCAGCAAGGCAGTTTTGATGGTCTCACGACTGAGCTCAATAACAGCCCCTTTGATAATGTCACTTTCCCTTTGCTTTTCTGCAGACTCAGTGTGGATGGCCTTCAGGTTTGAATTAGTGCTGGAATGGGCTTTAGGCAACAAAAGAAGGTGACACACAGGTAAAACCAGTGAAGGTACTAAACATGGCTGCAAAACTGACAAAACATAGAATTCGAATTATTTCATAGGAAGTAACTCTGGTTTTACTTAAAAATAAACCCCAAACCCAAAAGATCATGTTTCATCTATTATGAATGTTAATAAAGTGTTGTACTGTAAAATGGAAAGCGGGATGGGATAGATGCCATAACCACAGTGAAAAATGGTTACAAGCTGTTGTTATTGTAGGATCTAAATCATGGAAAGGTTTCTACCATCTGAATACATGGAAACAATATTGACAGGACAGGGTTTGCCAGAATCATTTATGCAAAGTGCCAGACACAGGACAGCATTATGAATACTGAAGAACAGATTCTGCCTCGGGGACAATTAGCAAGTTGTAATCAAGCAGGGAAAAAGTATAAAATCAGCAAGGTTGAGCATCAGCGCTTAGCATCTCCAGGTAGCTGTCAGCCGTCAAGCACTTTGACAAGACCTGCCAATGTGGATGCTTGCTTGGCCTCACAGCTGTCTGCTTTCCTGATGATGGCAGCAGCAAGTGACCATCTTAATTTCCACCCCTGGCTTGCTGGGGGAAAGAAAAAATGGAGTTCCAGGTTTGGATGCCATGATAAACATCAAGTTGCTCTGGCACACTAGGAAAGTCAAGTGGCCACTGACCACTGTCTGGAGAGTCCAGGCAGCCCAACCATGGAGAGGCAGGTAAAAGTTACAGCTGGATCAGCATTTAATGTAAACTAGGTCAGCACTCAAAGTTTGAGAACTGTGTTGAGAAGTACAAGAGTGGCTTGGTTTACGTGGTTTTAAAAAATAGTGATGCCATGCACACGCTAGTTTGCACTGCTGCATTGCTTCCATTTGGCTCCTCCTGCCAGTGGGAATGGCCAAACAACCCAGGGATACTCTGTCCCTGGGTTGTTTAGCATGAGAGCCAAACCTGGAACTCTGGCTTGCCTCCCTCACAAGCCAAGGTTGGAACCCAGGGTTTACATCTGGGCTTCAACTCTACCTGAGCAGGACTGAGTGCACGGTGCGAGCCAACATTCTCACTTGTTCCTGACAAGCCAGGAACCAAAAAAACCTTGGCCTGTCATCATGTGTGAACAGGGCCAGTGTGTTTCTCTAAATGTTTCAGTCTGTTATAGTGGTACTAAAGAAATGGTGAAGTGTATATATTTCAGTTACTTTGGTTTGAGCATTTTTATGACCCCTAAAAAGCTGTCCAACGTACTGTATTACGAAAACTATATTATGGGAGACTAAATGTATGCCTTTCTGCCTATTTATTTGTTAATGTAGCTTTCTTCATTTTCAGAATCAAGGTTTTATATTACACTTCAACACTGAGCTAACAAAAGTGCAGTCTTAAAGCAGGCATTTATTGTAAAAGCCGACTGAAGCTGTTACCAACACACGGATCAGGCAACACTTGCAGTTACCTGGTATACTTTGCCTTCGTGAGACCAAAGCCGTGTCCAGTCCACCTGATTCTTTGCTGCCTTTGGAATAAGGGCCATCATCTGCAAGAGAAAAAGAACAGATTCTGGATTCGATTCTAAAACAAAAAGTTACCTCTCAGTTATTCTTAGATGCATTGTAAATTTGCTTGCACACAATGTTACAACCTTACAATTAGTGGAGATGGCCAGAAGCATGGAAGTGAAAAAGATGTCCCTGTGGTATTTATCATCAGTCCCAGTAATACTAAAGCAAGGGTAGGCAACTTCACAGCCAGTTCCCTTGAATACACCCCTCCTCGCTGCCACAACACCACAGGCCAAGAAGCAGCAATTTCTCATTAAAAGGAGGCACGTAGGAAGTGTGTGGCTCATTTCAAAGCAAAACTGCATTCCTGGGACAAATCCAGCTGCTGCTGCGCCACTGCATTTCACTGGCAAATTCAGCAGCCCAGTGGCAGCGTGCATGAGTGTCTGTGAGTGTGCATGCGTTCAACTGGAGTCACGTGCAGCATGCGGACTGCATGCTGTCCACCCTGATCTAGCTATGTTTACAGCACTGTACAGACTGTCCTTGCCATCCTGCAAGTTACCTGACCGCTATCCCAGGTTTCCTTTAACTGCTGGTAGAGTGGAAGCTACTCACAATATTGGCAGGAGGCCCTTAATGCAGCTGGGAGGCCCAAGTCTGCTGCTGCATTTGGGAGATTTTATTAGGCATGAGACTAAGACTATCTTCTAAAATCTGCAGCATTTTTTCCAAAATAATACAACCAGATTTATTTTTCAGGAGATAACCCTTTAAGGATGAAAGTACATTATTCCCATAAGCCTTAAAGCATGCCATAATACTTGAGAAGAAACTCAGTCTCTAGAAAGTGGAGTAATACATCAGGATACCAACAGAGTACTAAATCACCATACTTGAATTCAATCACCAATTCCCTTGCATCCTTTTATTTCAAAAGTCACCTCTTCTAACTGCAGCTTCAAGCAGCATATATAGGAAAAGTGGCTGGGGGAGGGGTGAGGAAAGAGAAATGGAGTTTGAAAGAACATCAGTTTAAAATTCAGGCTGTATAATTAAATACAGGTTTCACTTTTTATGTGCATTTTTTACAAGGAGGTATTTATTTGCCAGAAAATAAAAACTCCCAAATCACTTTTCCCTTACTGACTGCATCGAATCACAGAAACTTCAGGACCGATAGAACAAAAACAGTTTTAAGGGAACCCCAAGGGTGCAATAGTTGTAATGCATCTCACTGCAGCTCCAAACAGTGCCTAGAATTTACTGCACAGAAGGAGATAGTCCCCGTGCCCCAAATTGACTAACTTCCTCTCAAACGTACTTACAAAATATCTGATCAGTGCAGCACCCGCTGGAAATTTCTTCCCTGTGGGGAAGGCAAAAAGCAGCATGTTTAAAATAATCAGCCTTTCAGCAGTATGAGAAGGCTTGGAGGAGATCTTTAGATATGAAGAAATGGGGATATAGAAATAACCACCTTTAGTACTGATATAATTAAAGCATCACGAGACAGCCACTGTGCCTATTATGACTAGAGAAGCCATCCTGGAAAAGAGCAGTGCAGAATAAACCAAATTCATGGCATTCCAATTTGGGGTCTGGGAAAGATGCCAGCCCATAGGAATCTTGCCTGCTGGGGATGATAGGGCTGCGGTCCAACAAACCCAGCAGATGTCCAGTTTGGGAAGGCTGTTCTATGGTATCAGGAGTGTAGAAGCAGTTATGAAGTGCAGATCGGTTGGGGGCCAGGGGGCAAGGAGAGGTGTTGGTGGTGGGGTTCACAACTGAAGTGGCACATACGACCATCCAAAGGCCACCCCCTTCCTCACCTCACCACTCGTAAGACCAGAAGAACCATGATCTAAAATGGCCCAGGTCTACAGTGGGGTGCCTTTACTGGAAGGGTTAAAAATGTGTTAAATGGAGCCACTGTGCTTAACAAAACACATTTAAATACTTAATTTATGTTAATTGTGGGAGCATATGATTTAAACAGTATGAAAGCACACCAAACAAAGTAACAGTAATACAAGGCTTAAGAAGAGTGCTCCTAGATGCTCAAATATGGCAGAGATTTTATCCAGGAGAATAGAAAGCTCTTTGCACTAGAGTGCAACAGCAAAGGCTCAGCCCTGGTAGACGCCCACACCTCACCTCAGTTAAGTGTTTAGAAGTCATCAGTCAGGTTAATGTGGGAGAAGATTTCCCTCATAGTTCCAAGGCCGAAGCCTCACGGGCCCTTCACGGTCAGTGCCAGGAGTGCCATTCATCTGATAGCTCGTGATGGGATAAGAACATAAGGAAAGGCATGCTGGCTCAGACCAGCACTCCAGACACACAGTGGCAGACCAGCAGCCCACAGGATCCCTCAAGCAGGATGGGGCAAGACCTTCTCCTGCCCGGCCCCTCAGCAACTGGCGTGTGCAGGGACCCCAACTCTGGTGAAGGAGGAGGCACACGGTCAGCAGGGCTAGTAGCCACTGAGAGCCTCCTCCCTCATGAGTCTGTTCAATCCCTTTCTGAAGCCATCCAGATTGGGGGCCATCACCACTTTCTGTGGCAGTGAATTCCATAGTTTAACTATACACTTTGTGAAGAAGGGCTTCCTTTTTATCTGTCCTGAACCTCCCACCAATCAGCCTCATGAGATGACTCTGAGATTGAATGTTATGGGAGAATTTGTCTCCCTCTCTACTTTCTTCATACCACGCATTATTTCAAATATCTCTACCATGTCTTTCCTTACTTGCCTTTTTTCTACCCTGAACAGTCCCAGTTAAGGTAGCTGCTCCTCACAGGGGAGCTGCTCCAGCCCCTGGATCATTTTTGTTGCCCTTCTCTATACCTTTTGGGTAAATCGTGCCCATGTTTCCCTTTCCCCCTCTTCCCTCCCTGTCCCCTTGCATGTCCTGTTTTTAGATGCTAACCCTGTGGGTAGGAATTGCCTTACCAATTTCACAGAAGTCACTCAAGAGCTTTTTTGGCTGGAGAGCAGGGTATGAATGTAATTTTTAAAACCATTCATTCATAATGAATAAGAAAGAAGCAACAACTTCTAGAAGTTGTCGTTGTTTCACCTCAAAAGGAGGCACCCCCATCTTGCATTCATTACCCAACTAGGATTCAAACAAAGTGGCAAAGCTCATTTTTATCGTCTAATCGCAGGTCGCACAATCTTGGAAATAGGTGTGGCCTTGATGGGGGCGTGGCCTGGAGCTGTGGCTAGGATGATCACAAAGGGATCCCCTACTTCTAAGTTTGCTGCTACCCCTCTGCGACAAGCACTGAGCAGGCCCCCAGCCCACATATGTGTCTTGCACCACCATGTGGATCGTTCTTTTCTGTGCCTGCCATGCATGCATGGGAGATAAGGCTGCTGCTATTAATGTGGTGGTGGTGGCCAATGCAACGGCACAGGCAGAGAGCTCTGCTTTCCACCAGCCTGCCCCAGCACCCCATGGATGCCTAGTCTGGGCTGTACTACAATGCTCCACCTGTGAGACTTCCGGCTGCCCACTGCAGGAATGGAATTTTTGTTTCCAAAAGAATGGTGTTCAGCAGGCTTGGCAAAACAAACAGAACCTCATTACGCATTATTAAAAAGCATGAGCACAGGATTGAGAGTAACTAGGGGAAAAAAGCCAAACTGCCATGTTGTAATTGACTGAAAAATAATTTTGATAGACTAAACACATCTCCCCACAGTTGAATTTGGCAGCAGATATTTTAAAAATAAAAATACTTCTACAGAATGTTGCTTTCAAGCATCAGACCAAGATTAGCTATTGTTATGAACGTGAGAGTTTAATTAATTGACTAATGAACTAAAATTCAGACAATTTAATTGACTAGAATTTCTTTGAAGTGGATGACAGCCTTTCTAACATTAATAAAGGTCATTTCAAGCATCAAGTTTTTTCTGCCAGCATTTGGGGCTTAATCTGGGCTTCGGCAGCACTTTCTTGGGCTCTTCTGAATAATATTACTTCCTTGGAAACTCCAAGATAAAAGTGGTGTGGCAACTTTTGGGTTTGATGGCACCAGGGGCATCTGGTTATCTGGTTGACAGCAGGTCACATTAAAGGGAATTTCTAGAGGAAAAATAATAATCGAATGGAGAGACAAGCATTGTTGCCATGGAGGCACAAATTCCAGAATCACTGAGGAACCACTGCAGCCAGCTTCAGATAGGGCCCAGTCAAGTTGTCAGCCATCTGCTTCTCTTCATAAACACCTCAGCAGACCATTCCCAACCACCCAGAGAGAGTGTTGACATTTCCTTTTGGTAACCCCAGAGCAACATCTGATGCTGCATCCTTAAAATCAGTTAACACCCTGCCCCAGAAGTGCAACTGAGGCTGGCAAGCAAAGGCCTTAACCATTCAACCACCAAGTGAACCTTGTGGAAACTGTTGCCCAAGGTAAATCAGCTTATCACCATCAAGAGCCTCTGCAAGCAGCTAAATGGCTGGAGCCGGCAGTAATATATTGACACCTCCACCCACAATTAGCCATTCCACAAGGGTCAAGAAAGCCCTCTGGCATTTCACTGGCAGTTAGAACAGCAAACAATTAGCACCAAGACTCCCATCCACCCCATCCCATGCGGTCTTTTCCCCAGCACAGGGAATGATACTAAAGTGTTTGTTTTTGCTCATTATCCAACTGAAATGTTCGAGCAGTCAAGGAAGGTGCCTGTTGAAGTGTGAATTGGCATTTGCTTGCATTCATTTCCCTGCTGTGCGCCTTTTGTTCATGTTTGGCTGATTTCCTTCATTGTCAATCCCATTTTCTTTATTCCAGATTTCTTTGTCTTGCTACCCCATCTCCCATTAAGACCCTTATATCGGGCGTGTGGCATTAGTCAGTCCTATCTCTTAGCAGGCCATCCTAAAGGCTTTATTGGAACAATTGTCCCTTATTATCTTTATTGTTGCTTGGAGTTTTAATTATTGCAATACCCGGCATATACACCAAACTGAATGAATGAATGAATGAATGTGACCCTTTCCTAAAAAAGAAAAGAACAAAG